TCTCAGTCATATTTGAGTAACTAAATCTAATAAGCTGATCAGAAAACACAAAAACATTAACATCATGTTAGGTCTTAAATCTTTATTTAAATAAAGTTTGTCATAAGGTTATAAATGACACTTGTAAAAGCTTAGCATCTGCTTCAAGACTGCTATACCAGCGTTATTTGCTTAGGTCAGTTTTTAAAACTCAGTAAAATCAGATATATTTAAATAATCTAATCCAAATTGTGTTGCTCTCATCGCTGCTGGACCCTTTAACCTTTGATTATATCTGTTGAGAGGGAGGTGAGGGGTTTCTGGTGGTCTGGAGAAGCTTAGCTTCTCAGCTTGTCTCAGAGTGGCCAGCCCGTCTGGGAAGGTTTGCTGACTCTTGTCAGCGGATAAAGGAGTGCTTTGTATGGAGAACACTGGGTTTTCCAGGGAGCATCTGCAGAGGATGCAGCGGTGTCTTGGAAACTCCCTCCTTATTAGTGTTCTGAAAGGATCTCATCTTTCAGTCTGAAAATACACTTCCTAATAATAATAATTGAACTAACATTGGAGAAATTCCCTCTCTGCATTTAACCCATCCGCTTGGGGAGCAGGGTGCTGCCATTGGGTGGCACCCGGGGGGGCAGTGTGGGGTGAAGTGTTTTGCTCAGGAACCCAGAGTGGAAGCAGTGGGATTCGACGCGGTACTTGCAATCTTCGCAGAGTATAAGCACACTGATCTAACCCTCTAGGGCCAACACTTCCCTAAAAACTGGGTTAAGAGCACACACCTGGTGTTAATCCTTCACAACTTGGGCGTATTCTTGCAACTCTTGTTCAATGGGTATTCACCCCCGAAGACTGTTTCTTGGCAGTACAGCATCCTTGTCCAACCCATGCTCAATAGTTAAGCCGTGCACATGTTCATCTCATAGCTATCACAGAGGCCTTTAAGCCCATGATTGAGATTAGGTAAACTCCTGACTATTTGATATAATATATCTGGGTGGAAACGTTTGGTCAGTCAGTGAGGACCAAGGTTGGGTTTGTAGACCTATGGTGTTGGTTCTCTATGAAGAGGTCCCTGTTTCTCTGGTTGTTAAGGTGTTTGAGCGCGGACAGGAGCTGAGTGCCAACGTCTGCTGGCTGGACAGCGAGACAGGAAGCTGGGAGCTGGAGACGGAGCTTCCAGCCCGGCGCAGCCACCACTGCCTGGCCGTCCTAGGAGGCTTCATCTTCGCTGCAGGCGGAAGCTCCTCCAGGGACAACGGAGGAGATGCTGCTTGTAACCTGCTGTACAGATACGACCCACGACTCAACCTGTGGACCATGGTGAGGGGACAACCAACCTCCTTGTGGTAGATGGTCTTCTTTTTGCGTTCTGCTCCATTACAGTGTGACATTTCCCAGGGAGCTCCGATGAACCAGCCGCGGGTGGACTTTTACCTGGGAGCTGTGGGAGAGTCCCTGATCGCCGTGGGAGGCAGAAATGGCAGCGGAGCGCTTTCGTCTGTGGAGATTTATCATCCTGCTAAGGACTGCTGGTCCTACGTAGCACAACTCCCCAGGTAGGACAACCTATCTGTTGCGTCTTCTGCTTTTTAAGCAAAATATCAGGATCTCCTCTGGCATTTTACAGTCAGTTAGAGGTTTTCACAAAATCCAATAACAAAACACTTGAGGAGAAATGACCAACTACCTCCAGAGGTCCTCTGATCAGTAACCCGATCTGGCCTCAGAGGAGAACAATCAGTTTCATGGAGACCATGAAGGTTCTTCGTGGAAGAGAGAAATAATTAGAGGACCATGGTAACTCTGGAGGAGCTGCAGAGATCCACAGCTTAAGAGACGGAATCTGTCCACATGACAATTGGTGGACTGTAAGGCTGGGTGCCTGGACGAATCCTTCGACCATTGACGATAGACTAAAAATAGGTTTAAAAGGAGCAAAAACTTTTTTCTTTTTTTTAGCTACAGGTTGAGAAGCAGCCCATGAAAAATAAAACAAACAAACAAAAGAAAAAAACCTAATGCTGTTTAACAGTACACACAAACTCTTTCCAGCTGCAGCTTTTTTCCTCCAGTGTCACCGTGCAGCAGCGATTTATCTACTTCAACTTGAGACAGAAAGAAGAAGGAACTGATCCAAACCAATATTTTTTTTTATACCGTTGAAGCAGAACCAGAGAAATGTTTTTTACAGGCCACTCCATGTGTCACAGATACAAAATTAAACACAGAAAAGAAGAAAATGCTCCAAGTAAAGCTGTGCACTTTCCATTAAAGAAATGCTTTTAATCTCGCCCCCAGTTTTCAGTCTTTTCGATTTTTGCTTTTCTGCTTTCACACCCAAGAGCATCACAAGCTCTTTCAGGTTGAAGGTGATAACTGAATGGCTTCAATCCTCCTCATAACTCCGGGGAGGAAGTTATGTGCCATCTTCTCTGTCCCGTTCGTGCGCTGTCGTGCGCCGCACAGAGCGCCTGTTTGTGTATTACAGAGGGAATCCTGCAGGACAGCCTTTGACTGCTCAGCGTCTCTCACACTGGCTGTGTGAGGGTATTTCACAGGCTTTTACTTCTTCTGGATTGGAGCCTCCAGAAAAGCTCAGAGCTCAACTACTCGAGGGGGGGCACCATGGAGAGCTCTAGAAAAAAATTCCCTCTCAGATAGTCTCAGAAAGCCCCATTTTATCTTCATTTAAAAAAAGTGCACCCCAGAAAGCGGGGAGGACACCCCCTTACACTCCCCAACCCCTCTTGCTGCTCCCTCATACCTAAAAATCCTAGAAAAAGCCCTGCTCTGTATAAAAGAGCAACAGTTAAACTAGAGATACAGCAGACCTGTAGAAGGAGATCTGATCATTGAAGACCTGCAGCCGAAGGTTGTTCTACAAAGTAATGATTTAGGAGCCCAGACATGCCGCACTGTTCAGATTTTAATCCATAGAAACCAAGAATCCCAGTTCCGGTCCACTGCATTAGTAGAACAGAAATAACTAACGTCTTTTTTTTTTACTCTCTAATCTGAACCCCAAAATATTCACATTTCAAGCGAATTAAAACGCTTTTAAAACATTTTTAAGCAGGAAGTTTTAAAAACAATATAATTTACATTTTCTTAAAAAAAAAAAAAAAAAAAAAAATCAGTTTACTTTTGATATTATACTGGTGGAGGGGTGACATGGGCGTTGGGTGCAGGAGTTTGCCCTGCAATTAGAGGGTTGTTGGTTCAAGCCCTGGCTCCAGCTTTCGGTGCCGTTGTGTCCTTGGGCAAGACACTTCATGTGCATTGTCCACTGATGGTGGTCAGAGGGCCCGGTGACGCCAGTAACGGCATTCTGGTTTCTATTAGTGAGCCCCAGGGCAGCTGTGGCTACAATGTAGCTCACCACCATCAGTGTGTGTGTGTGTGTGTGTGTGTGTGTGTGTGTGTGTGTGTGTGTGTGTGTGTGTGTGTGTGTGTGTGTGTGTGTGTGTGTGTGTGTGTGTGTGTGTGTGTGTGTGTGTGTGTGTGTGTGAGTGTGTTAACGGGTGAATGACTGAATGTTGTTTAAGGTGCTTTGGTCAAGTCTTCTGACTGTCCTCACTGTCACCCTAATCTTTACCTCCCTCCATGAGATTCAGGACTGGACCTCATTGGACTGCTCCAGAACATTCCTGATGCAGCCAGTCAGAAAAAAAGGGTTGCAGGTTACACTGGCGATCGTGAGAAGCACCAGCAGGGGTCACTGTCCAGTTTGTAGTTTCTTTGTCTGATCTACTGTGAATTCTGTAAAGTTCTTCTAGGTCTATTCTGAATTTTTTTTTTCTGTTCCTCTTGGTTCAGGTAACACTTTCAGTGTCCTGACACATATAGTAAATTCTGGTTAAAACTGATCTCTGGGCTTCGTTCTACAGAAGCTGAATCCTACTCCATTTTTTTGGTGTTTCAGGTTCACTTACGGTCATGCTGGCACTGTCCACCAAGGCGTGGTCTACATCTCAGGTGGTCACGACTACCAGATAGGACCATACCGCAAGGACTTCCTGAGCTACGACCCATCCCGGGACGGGGAGGTGTGGCGAGAGCGGCAGCCCATGTCTCTGGCTCGGGGCTGGCACTGCATGGCCTCCTTGGACCACCTCATCTACGCCATTGGTGGTAGCGACGATCATGCCGACACCACCGAGCGCTTTGACGTCCTACAGGTGGAGTCCTACGACCCACTGTCCGGCCAGTGGTCCCGGGTGGCACCACTGCTGCTGCCCAACAGCGAGGCGGGGCTGGCGGTCTGGGCTGGGAAGATTTACATTCTGGGAGGCTACAGCTGGGAGAGCATGGCTTTCTCTAGAGTCACCCAGGTGTACGACCCCGACACAGGGTCCTGGTCCAGAGGGCCTGACCTGCCCAAAAGAATCGCTGGAGCGTCGGCGTGCGTGTGTATCGTCAGGCCCTCGGCTCAGCCGGCTGCACCAGAGAAGAAGAAAACGGGCCGAGGGGTAAGATGGAGATCCCAGCCAACGTAGGGTTCTGGTTCTTCTATTGGGTTAGAACCACCCAGCTTCAAACATGGACAGAGGAGGAGCTTCAAGAACAACATTTAACCATATGACTTTTCTTCTGGTAAATCTGAAGAGTAAGAGCTAATGGATATCCTCACTGATAGGGACTGACTGCAGATGAGAAGAACCACAGCAAAAAGTCCCAGGAGCTCTGTAGATTTGATCTAGTTTAGATTAATCTGTGGATCAAACTGCAGGTGCGTTTAGGTATGGAGACAATATCTGCAGAGAAGAAACTCTGGGTTGTTAGGAGCCAAACACCTTCAGCATCAGAGAAGAAAACTATTCTACAAATCTCAACAAAAAGAGGTCAATGTGGGGCTAAACAGCTAAAGTTTGGACTTATTTGGATCTTCCAGCAGGACAGGGGTTCTAAAAAGACCCAAGCAGGTCTTAAGTGACGAAGAAAAACATTTTCCTGAATGCTTCTGAAGTTCCAACATCGATCAAATGTTGACCTTTTAGGATGAAACTCAGGGTCAATTTTAACACCATTATTTTTTTATTTATTTGAAAGAAAGCAAATAGCAGAACTTTAATGAATCTGAAAAAATTTGTAGATTCAAACATGATGTAAGATTCTTGTAAAAAAAAAAAAATGACAATAGAAGCCAGAACACAGCATGACATTCGTGTCTGTGATGATTGACGGGTCAGCAGAACACTGTCAGACTAAATCGACACAGAAAACTCTCAGCAATAAATGCAGCATGAAGAGGAATAGATGAGTGAATCATAAAAACATCAGGAGGATGTGTCTCTGAGGCTATTAAAATGAATAAATCAGAGTCAACTGGACCGTCTGTTACATCACAATTGTTTACCGTAATAAACAATCCAAACCCACACGGTGTGTTTTCCTTTCAAACAAAGGCTCATAGTAGTTTGTTGAGGTCGGAGCATCATTTGGGCCAGTTTCACGCTGTCACTCCTCCAGCTGCATCACTGAAACGGGTAGTATGGGTGGGACTTGATTCTGGGGAACACAACAGCAGTCACAATGTGGACCTGAGCATCACCAGCAGCAGAATCTGGATTGTGACTTACTCCTCGAGTAAGCAGGCCTTCCAGCCTCGGTCCAGGCCTCTCAGGGTGTTCATGTCATCCTCAGTAAGGCTAAAGTCAAAGATCTGGAGCAGGTTGAGAGTCAGTCCAATCAAACCTGGAACTGTTTTAGTGATGTGTTGTTCTATGCAAATGTTTGGGTTCTACCTTTGTGTTTTCCAGGATGTGATGAGGTTTGTCACTTTTAGGGATGACGGGGATATCCTGCTGCACGTGATACCTCAGCAGAACCTGTCAAAACATTCATTAGAGCAGGAACACAAACACACACGCTGTGGTGCACACTGACTGACCTGTGCAGAGCTGCGCTGGTGCTTCTTTGCTATTTCTGCAACCACAGGGTCTTCCAGCAGCTTTTGGGGATCAGCTTCATCTCTTTTCCTGCAACAGACAAAACAAACAGAGGCTGGTAGCTGGAAGAGTAGGGGACAGGCAGCCTTGTGGTTAGGGCATAGAGCTTTGAATCCTGAGTTTGTGAGTTCAAAAACCAAACCCACAGACATAGGCGGATCTACTGGGGTGGCATAGGGTGGCAAATGCCACCCTAAATGACAGCCTTGCCACCCCTGCTGCCACCCCAGTTGGCGGTAGGGGTGGCGAGGCTTATAAATTATGGATAATTTGAGACTTGCGACTGCTAATTTCTAATGTCGGACTGCAGTGAATGTAGCACGAGATGACGCGAGAGCGACTGAGACTGATTGTTTTGAAAACCGAATGGGGCAAAGCGAGGGAGCCAGGGGTCATGGGGAGAGGAGAAACAGGATGAAACAGGTAAAAACTGTTTAACTATCTATCGAGAAATGAAACAGCAGTGTGGAGGACCAAGTCTGCCATATTTAAAAATAAATACAGAAATAAATAAATGCTCAATAAATAAATAAGCATACAATTAATTGCCGCCAAAAATACAAACAACAAATAAATGTAAGTAGAAATTAAATTATACAGCTAGTCATAAAGGTATATAACTATTTTAATTGGCTTCTTTATTTCTTTGCCTTTTTAATATTTACCTTATTTATTTTTTGTCATTTATTATCTTCAACTTAATTTTTTAATTACTTATATTTTTAAGTATTTATTTAAGTGCATGTTATAATATTTTTGTCTGTTTTATTCTTCCTTTGTATTTTTTTACCCTAATTATTTCTTCGCCGCTATTTCTTTCTGCCTGCCCTTTTTACATTTCTGCCTGCCATTATAATATAATTTCTAATTACATTTATTTGTTTATTGTATTTTTGGTGGCAATTAATTGTATGCTTATTTATTTATTGAGCATTTATTTATTTCTGTTTTTATTTTTAAATATGGCAGAGTTGGTCCTCCATATACAGCTCTATCTACAGCATATTTACATGCATGAAATGTCCCTTTCATGTTGCCTTAACTGCTGTATGTCAAGTTACTGAGGAACAAATGTGGTAAATGTGTGTTCAGAGTAAACATTACATAGATGTCTGGTACCTTGTTCGGGTGCCTTGACCCATTTATTTCTACTGTGTAGTTCTGCTCACTTTAGTACAGCTCAGTCCATAGATCTCTGATGGGAAACTTTTTCTTTCTATAGTTTCTTCTTGTGCAAATGCTGCAAAGCTGCCTCTCTGACAGTCAATCTCACACATCTGCCACTCAGCACCTTTGTCTTACCTTAATACCTTTCCTGTGATAATGCCCCTCTAGAAGTAGTGTTATCGTTCTTCTATCTCCTATTAAGTGAGATCACATTGTACGATGTATTATTAATATGAACTGTTTCACATGAAACACTAGTACTGTACATACTATTCTCATCAAACTGTGATAACTGTGATTAAATTCAGTGTAAACAAATGCCATATGTTGCCACCCCTAAAAAATTCCTGCCCCCCTCTTGCCACCCCATAAATATTTTTCTAGATCCGCCCCTGCCCACAGACTGCCACTCTGGGTCCCTGAGCAAGACGCTTAACCCCTGATTGCTCCCCGGGCGCCCCACTATGGCAGCCCACTGCTCCCCCACAGGATGGGATAAATGCAGAGGTAAATTTCTCCAGTGTGAGATCAATAAAGTTCAGTTATTCTTATTAAGAGGGGAATTACTGTACCCTGCTTAACCTAAGAAAATTCATCCTTTAAAAACTGAACTATCATCTCACAACAACTCAACCTTTATTTCACAACATTTTTTAAGGATAATCTTTTTTTTTTAAGTTGTAAGGACTGCAGTTAACGGCTGCTTACCTGTGCAGCTGTCTTTATCGTACAGATAATGACCATTTTCCACATGTTCTTGATTATCCTCCTGCAGAAGTTTCAATTTTTAGGAGTATTTCAAACGGTTCGAGCTGTGGTGCTCTCTAATGCTTAAAGGAATTAAATTAAAGTCAGAACATTTGTGTTGGCGGTGGTAGGAGTGAAAAGCTTTCCTGTGGCCTTGTTGTCATGAGTGTTACAGATATTTTTCCTCCCTTCCCATCCTCCTCACTGTGTTGGAAAATTAACTAAATTCTGGTCCAATGTTTTCTATCTGGTTTGAAATGCATAAACCTTTATAAAATAATTCTTTAACCTTAAACTTGGACATGTTAAGGCCAGCAGCAGGTTTCCTTTGGGCACTTCCTGACCGAAGAAGTTTATAATTCATCTGCCATGTTCAAAAGGATGTTTTATGGTTTGCCCTCTTTAGAAGAGCACATACACAGGCCTTTAAATAAACAGTGTTTCCAGTGTGAGGGTCAATAAATCATACATAGAAATTGATAATTTCTTCATTTGGATTTTAAAATCCCTCATTAGAGGCTGAAGATCTGAAATTCTTCAAAGTGAAATGATGCTGTTGTAATAAACTTTCATTTTGAGGGATACTAGGTTTCAATAATTGTTGAGGTGACCATAAAGGAACCAAAGTACAAACACACACAATTTCAAGTTTATCTTGGGGTACAAGGACAATAAAGTTGTTTTTATTCTAAAAAGGTAAGTGGATGCTGAACTTCTTAAAGAAGACAAAAAGAGTGTTCTCACAGCTACCAGATATTTTTTTTAAAACTAGCAGAGATATAAAGCTGCTGTTGGCTGTGAAGTCACTCAGTGCTGCAATAACTACTCTTTTGAAAGATTCAATCTAAACAATTTTGTATTTGCAGCTGAGGAAGCAGATCTATTGGGAAGATAGGTGGAAATAGTTTGGTTTGTACTGTAAGGAAGTGGATCTTACATTTCTGGGGGCCTTTCTGGTGAACCGAAAGGGCTGTAGGCCGTCAGTGTGATGTTTTTGGATTTGCAGTACTCAATGAGGTCTTTCTGAACCATGTAAGGATGAAGCTCCACCTGTCAGAGGAAAGACATCAATAGATGCAGATTTTTTGGTTTTCAGATTTTCATCAAAATATTTAATTCATATAGGTTAGCTGTTAAGTTTTCCTCCTTAACCAGGTTCATAAAAGTGATAAACCTCACATGATGTCGAGAAATAACTATGATTGGTTCAGATTTAAATGGAATGTAAATTAAAATTAAAGATCCTGTCGCTAAAAATGTGTTCGGTAAATTTATTGCCCCTTTTCCATTGAAAATGTCACAATCACACCATTCTAATCCTCTCCGTTTGCCTGAGGTAGGTAAAATTCCACATTTCATGAGAAAGTTTTTGCTTTAGGATTGTACAGAAAAAAATAATGACTTCAAAAGTTATAGAAGCAGTTAGTTTTACATGTTAAATATTGGATATTCGGTAGACCGTTATTTGCATTAGATCAGCGGCTCCCTGCCTGCTCTCACCTCTGTAACATGTGGTTCAATTAGAGGCCATGAATAAATGTTTTAACCAAAAAGAAATACCTATTAGTGTATGTGACCCAGTGATACAAAACTAATCTCAGATTGTTGTACTAAACAGATGAGACACATTCCTTTTTATCTGATCTTTGGGTGAAGGTCCCCATGTGTAGAAGGTAAATAGGGGATTATTAAAAACAGCACCCCCACCTGAGTGTATTGCATGTACTTTTTGTTTTATTTTTCTGCCTTCAGTCATGGTCTATGGTTTGTAACTAAATTATCTTTCAGTTTGATCATTTAGTTAAACTTCTGGACCTCTTGTTTTTCCTTGTTCCGCAAACAATCAGCCTGTTCTTGTCACACATCAGCTCCTCTTGTGCCATCTCCTGAGCAGGCATAACAAAGGCCAATCTGGTCAAAATAAAATAACCAAAAAAGCTGTAATGGAACTGCTTGCAAAGGAAGGTGAGTTAAGTTGAGCTGGCCTAAATTTCTCCACTGTAAATAAAATCAATCAATCAATAACTTCAAGCATTAAGTGTCTTAAAATTGTGCTATAAAGATGCAATTCTTTATTATGACCCAAAGGACTGCTTTAAACATATTTTATGCACTAAAATCTTTTCCTTGCAATGTTTAACGCCCTATCAAAATTTGTACATTTCCAGACAAACTCCAAATGCAACCTCATTCACTAAGGAGAGCCTGTGGAGAATAGAGATCTTTTCTAATGAAATCATGTCTTATTCTTTTGAATCTCCCCCAGCAAGTTGCAACATGTTGACCAATGACAATATATCCAAGGGAAAAATGTGATATAAAACGGATAAGTTCCCAGTGGGGAAGTCAAGGTGATACGATACAGCTACACGCTCTATCAAAATAAAAAGGAAAGGCTTGTATCAAGCCCCATGAGCTTTGATAGGAAAAACAAGCATCTGTTACAATAAATATGGTGTTCTCCGTGAGTAATGGTTATTACTCGAGAGAAGGAGGTGAAAATCACAGTAGACCCACTTCTATTTAGATTAGATTACAGTACTGTGTGTTTCCTACCAAAACTGCAGGAGGAGAACCTTTCAAGATCATTATGCACAACAAATAACCAACATAGAGTAATCCCCTTTTCCTACAGTATCACACACTTGGCTTATTAGCATCTTTTACCTGATTAAATTTCAAAAATAAATGCAAAAAAATCTGTTTATGGTCAGTTTTCCCTGAGTACACCCCATGAAGATTTCAATTTTCTATATAAACAATACCTTCACCACATGCTTTCAATCCAAAAAGCTTCTAGCAGCATTAATCTAGTGGTGTCCCACACAGATCCCTTCTGTGAGTCCGGTCTGGAACATTTATAGAGGATTAAAGACAGAACCTTGTATTAGTCTGCTTTACTCAGTCCAACCTGAATCATCTTTTCCAAGACCAACACCCTAACAACCACCTGCATGAACAAGCAGCTGGTGGAAGTAGAATCAGGATGAGGTCTAGTTCACTGGTAGTGGTTCTGGTTCTGAATGGTTTGAGTCATAAATTATACAAAACACAATGATTAAATGTTGAAATAAAGATTATTCTAACTAGGGCTGGACAATTAATTGCATGTGTAATAAGTTGGCAGTTTTAAAATGTCTAACTTGCAGAGGCATTCGGTTGTTAGCCACATTACCTTTAACATAATGAAGACACGGCTCTTCCCATACATGTGATTTAGAGGTTAACACTGAATCCCTGCAATAATGGACTCTGGACAAGACAGCACTCAAAGCTATGAAAGCAAAAAAATTCTGGAGCTAAAGATAAAAAGCTTTATCTCTTGTCTGATATTACTTTGACCTGTTATTATGAAGGTTTTAACAGAAATAAGACTGTTACTTGTAATCTAAATTCTTACATTTTATATTCCGCTTTATATTATATATTTTAAGGTGCTGCTTGTTCAAAAAGAAATTGAAGATAAAAGCACAGCAACTAGAAAAGTGGGTGAAGGTTTGTTTGCTTCGCTGCAGGTTCAAGGTATGAGTTGTTGGCCCTATTTGATCTCACTGGAATATATCAAGTTTGGCAGAGAATTTCTAGTATCAATTACTGTGTTTATTTTGTGCAATTTGTAAGCATACAATAAATCAGTTTTCATATTCCTAAGATTAACTGTTGTTTATTAGCAGAAATGCAGTTTGACCATAATAAAACATGAAATGTATCACATCTGTTCTCCGCATTGGCTCCATGTTAACCAATTGCATAAATGCTGAGTCACTAGCAGCTAGTTGGTGCTTTAACTCAGTTATTATTAGTAAGTATGTGTTTACTTTTTATGCTATTTTTTATAAAATGCTCTGATTTGGATGGTAATTGACTGTAAGGACCTTCAGCTAAAGTCTATATTAAGTTTTATAACTGTTTGTCTTTGCATTGTGTTTTAGGAGCACACAGGCACATACAAACATTCATAAAGAAATAAGGAAGCCAACCTGATCCACTACACCTTGGCTTAAAACATGTCTATTAGTAGCTTATATTTGCTGTTTGTGCTTTTGCAAAGGGAAATTTAAAAAATTGCAATGTTGCATTTTTTACAACAAAAAACCTACAGCCCTAGATCAGAATAATGTAATACTTAGTCATATATATCAATGCTTCCCAGCATGACAGGAAAGGGAGTTCAAATGAAGCACAGTGGTGGCAGCATCATGCTGGGTCTGCTTTGCTGCTGCTGCTGTATACTCTAACTGTTTATTATGTAGATGGAGGACTCCCTCCAAATTGCTAGCTAAAATCTGGACCTAATGAAAATTCCTACCAGGGCAATGATCCAAAACATCTAAGATCCATTTCTGAAACAGCAAAAGTAGTAATAAAGACATTAACTTAATTAGGTGTAAATCTCATTGAGAATACCTTTTTTTTTTTCAAGAGGAACCTGGAGAACAGAGCATCTCTATAGCTACGAATGGAAAGTTAGCAAATGCACAAAGATTTAAACTCAGCACCTGGTTAACAGCAGGAGGAACCTTGCAGAGAGCCAGAAGTCTCTCCAGCTGAAGGATGCTGAAGTTGGACACACCAATGCTCTTCACCTTTCCTGAGGCCTGCAGAGCCTCCAAACCCTGAAAACAAACAACATATGCAGTATATAAATCTCTTGTGTGGTTTTACAGAGTTGATGAATGTATACCTGTTGCAAAGTCCTCAGTTTAATTTGCGTTATAAAGGGAATTTTATTGACAGCATTAATGCAGGACAGCTACTTGATCTTACCCTCCACACGTCAACATAATCTATGTCCAACGTCAGAAGCTTTCCATCCTTCCTTGGAAGAATCTCATCCCCCATCCTCTGTGAATTAATAATTTAACAATTTTAATTAGTTATTTGCATTGTGGCTGCAAGACATCCTTCCATCTGAGCTGTGAATTTAGTTTAGTTTTGTAGCTTTTATTTTACTATAACTACAAGAAAATAACTATTCTTTTTAGTATCATTATTATTACTTTTATTGCTGTTTTTAATCCTTAGCTAAACCTATTTCTGACCAGCTTCCCTATCCACAGAATGATGCTTTCACCAACATTATTTTGTCAAGGGGGATGTACAGGGTAATCAACAGTATTAGTTTCCCTCGACAAATAGGACCTTGTCTACCAAATATGTTTCTACAACCAAAATTCAGACATGATATCACGCATAAAGCTGATCTACAAACTAGACGTGCAGCATTTCACGTTTTTGCCTCCATGAATATGCAGAACATGTGCTGATCATCAGAATGGGCAAAATAGTGGGAGGAAGATAAACATTACGTTAGGACTTAATATGTAATTATCAAACCTGAGACAGATTACAGGTGCAGTTCTTGTATCTACATAACTTGAAGTAGGGAAGACATATCATCTATAAAGTAATGCTATTTTTAGGGAAAACACTTTGACATGGCATCTGGATTGATCATTCCAGGATTTGCTAGTTAGTTGTATCTGCTGGACATATTCTGGTCTACTGTCTATTGACGTCAAATGTATTTTAAAGGTGGGGGCTGGCTCAGGGGGTGATACATTAACTTGAACTTGTCTTTTGAAATTTTTCAAAAAAGGAAATCCTCATTTATTGATCAAACTTCAGCACTGGTGAATGTCAAGGTTCTCAAATTCCAGGGTGGATTTCAAATGTGATTTAATCAGTGGTCAAATTCATAAAGCTGTGCTAATACAGCTGCGGTGCTGAAAACTCACGATCCCCAGCAGCTACTTTCACCTCTTTCTTGATCTGCATGAGGCATGGTGATCAGTAGTAAAGGAAAATAAAAGGTGTGTTTTCTTAAACAGCTGAACTTTTTTTTTTTTTAAGAACTTCTGCTGGCAAACCAACCATCTTTTTCCCTTTAATTGTGTTAGGTAAACACTTATATATCAATAAAATAAAAAGGTAAAGAAATTCTCCATTAATTAAAGAGTTGATCTCATGCGCGTCTGGAGAGATGAACGTTACTTAGTGACATTATGAAACATCAACCTTGACTTGTTCTGACACTTGGAATGGTCCAGATCCCAAAAGCTACTCTGCCATGTTTGAGTCTCCAATCATCTTATAGATGATTGTCCTGATAATTTTTTTTATTTGAGACCAAAAGAGAAGATTCTTTCTCCGGTCCTCCAGCATCATACCTGCCGTCTGTGCAGAATGCTGCTGCCTTTGTGTTGTGAAAAATAAATCCTGTCTGTTCTCCCAAATTCTTTATGATGACAGTCAAATTCCAATAGGGCAGTCCACATCACTTTTGAATTACTGGTAGATGTCAGATGGGCTCCCTGCCTGTCTATATCACCCACAATTTTCTTGGCAATGCTGATATTGTTTAGTGTGGCGGCCAAAGAGAAGTTGGAATTGGTTCCAGAGATGGTTTAATACTTAGATAAAGACCAAGATATGGCAACAGGCTGAAATTAAGCTCTAATGGTGAACATATCACTTAAGGGCTGGTTATACTCCTGCAGCAGTCTGTCGCAGTGAGCTTATCGCAGATATTTTTTATTTATGCCCATATTTGAAGCATGGTCTGTGCTATGCTATTCCACACCACAACACAAGAGGGAAAAGCTGTGGGTCTAGATACACCGAGGTAGTGGGGGCAAGTTTGTGCGACCATGGAGGGAAATGAGGACAAAAAAGAGCGGGGATCCAGGTGGAAAAAGGGTCCAAGCGTTCAGGCACACCTCGCTCTTCTAGCTGGTCCAACTTCACGAGATGTTTTTCCGCAATGGCAATCATACAAACAAAACAAGCCAGTAAGGTACCAAACAGGAAATAGAGATAGTGTAAAGCGGATGTAGATTTGACCAATCAGAGGCCTCCTGTCTGCGGCACTGTCTTCGGACACCTACAATTTTGGAAAGGATGCAGTAGAGTGTCTGCGGAAGGGACAGGGGCACATTTACGTTCACTGCGACACACTTGAAGATAACCTGGTTTCTGAGTATAAATCAGCCTTTAGTGTTCAGATGATAATTATTTCCATGCATCTCTTTGAAAAAATAATGGGCTTGTATATTTTGTTGGAGTGCTGCTGAGAAACAGAAAAAGAACCTGGAAAATCAAAAATGTAACCACAGCTGTTTAGCACAGGTCATCCAAATCAAGTACACCTTGGCCTCTTACTGCATCTGATTCGAACCTTTAAGCCGATGGGAAAGTGTATGAGGTAGAGATCCAGGTAGTCCAGCTGCAGATCCTGTAGGGACTTATTGAGGCAGACAGGGATGTCCTCTGGGGCAAAGTAGGTACACCACAGCTAAAAAGAAAAGAAAAAATGAAGACAAACTGACATTCAAAGTAAACAAAAGTTTCCAGAGGATTTCAGCTGCTGTCTCACCTTACTAACGATGAACATGTCCTCCCGGCGAATGATGCCCTGCTGCATCTTGGACTTCAGAGCTTTGCCGATCTCCACCTCGTTATCGTAGCTGAATGCGGTGTCAATGTGGCGGTATCCGGCTGCGATGGCGGTCTCCACAGCGCCCTGGGTGGATGGCTCCTTAGAGGACTGACACAAGGAAAGGGTTCAGTCAGACCAGTCAGAGCTGGTGAGATAGCTTTGAGATCTGGCCCTGTTACCTGGCTTCATAACAGGGACATATAATGGGTATTCAACATGAGCCTCATTTTCTCGAGCAGCGTTGATCATGCAAAGAGAGGCATTGGAAATATTGGCATTGACCAGATAAAAAACAGCATATTCAACCTTCACAGACCCTAGAAGACTCTGCCTTTCACCAGATCAACACTTCTCTTCTCTTTCACATTTTGGTGATAAAAGCTGGTTATCTAAATACAGGAGCTGGTTTACAGATCAAGTGACCTCTAACCTTTCCTCTGAAATACCTTGAAAAGTTCTTTCTGATTTTTCCAAAGCAAATCCTTCACAATGGCTTCTGCAAGATTTCAAGATTTATTGATGACTCATGCTGCCGCAGCTGCTTCGGGTCCAGTTTGCATGAAATAGTTGCATAATCTGGCTCCTTTACATCCTAAACATGCTGAAGCAAAGCAGGAAGCTGAAGAACTAGTTTTGCCAGGATATCATGCAGTAAAAGCAACACCAAGGCATGTAATGGAAGATAGAGACTGTACCTCAATAAGGCTTGTTCAAACATTAGTTTGCATATTTGAACTGCTTTTTGTTGTTGAAGTAAATCTTCCACCCTGTTTTAATAATAAAAATGATCTTTGTGTTGGAGATATTGAACTACAGAAATGTGCTCTAGCCTTCCATGGCTTTAAATAAGCTTTTTAGAGATGCAACAACCAGCCGTGCAGTGGTTCTGATAGTCGGGGCAAGACTGGAAAGGTTGAGGGGTCAGAGAGTCTAAGCCTAGCCTAACCTAAGTTCCTTAATGCAGAAGTTTCTCTGTAAATGGGTTTCTAACTCAGACTGGACCAATAAAAAGAACAGAGATCATTCTTACTCAGCAGGATTTGGCTCGTTTCTTATTTAGAGTTGGTGTTTTTTTTTTTACTTCCTATCTTGAAAGGAAGGAGTAAAGCTCAGACTGTGAAACTCAACAGCACTAAATGTCTACCAGCTATGGCAGCATCATCTGCCACTGGTGTTGTTGTTGTGATAACAAATAACATCTACTTTGAATGTCCTCAACGAACCAACAAATAGACATAATTTAGATCCATAACAATATTGATTCAAAACTAAATTGGACATGTCCAAACTAGAATGGATAAAACGGGCCATGATGAGTACCCCGTGTGTTTATATTCTGTTTTTAATGTTTTAAACTTTGGTAAAAAGATTATATTTAGGCTTTTTTATTAATATAAACAATTAGTTACAGATCATCTTCTGTTCTCAGCATCAATAAATGTAATAGAATCTCAGATTAAATGCATTTAAGTGCATTTGTGTTTTAATTATTTCCTTTTGTCTCTTGTAAAGTGGACTTAATCTAAAACCCAAATTTGCATGAAGGTTTAGAATAAATCTGTCGAGGCAACTCACAGCAATTCATGCTGCTTAGAAACAATAAAGGTTTAGATGTTTAGATTTCAAATTAGCAGACCAATCTTCCTCCAACCGACCAATCACAGTTTCTGGTAACAGTTTTTAAACTTCAGGAAGCATATCAGTGTAGTTAATAACCCTCAATGTTCAAAGCAAAGCTAACCTTTCTACTCTGAGCTGCAGATATTTGAGTGTGTACCTTCCATGTTCCCAGACCCAGCAGCGGCATACGCCTGCCGTCATTCAGCTGAACATGTCTGACCACCTGTGTGTCCTCCATGGAGAGCTTTCAGTTCCAGCAGCACGAAAACTGTCACTGCAGTTGCTTTCCTCTTCCTCTTTTTTGTCTTCCTTTTTGCTGAATCAACCTGCTTCCTTTTCTTGGCTGATTTGACTTTGTTTCTCTTCCCCTGTGACTCAGTTTTTGCCCATTCACTCTTTTATTTCCTCCTTATCTAGTGGAAAGTTAATTATTGGGCAACGTTCAAAGTACTGCACCACCAACAAGTTCTTATAAGTAAAACTACGTGGGTACTGGCAGGTTTCAAAGGTCAATTTTCTCATATTTTACGCAGTGCACAGACACACATACACACACACACACGCAGTCTTTGTTTGCATGACTTTCAAGGACACTTCATTGACATACATTTAAATCATATGGCCTAACCAAGACCCTTACCCTAACCCAAACTATTACCAACATATACCTAACCTTAACCCCAACCCAAAGAAGAACACTTTACCATTTGGGTACCTATTGAATGTCCCCATTTGGACCACTTTGGACATTTAGGTCCCTACAACAGGGGATATTTGACAAACACTGCCCCCAGTTGTAGCTCAAACAAACACACACACACACACAAAAAGGCATGTTTGTATTTCTCCCCATATTAGAACTTTTTATCCGCTGCTATTTTTACCTGTACATATCAATAAGGAGCGATGGGTCCTCATAAGATATTTTATTTCTAAAAAATGGGCCTCATACTGTAACAAATGCCAGAGCACACACACACGCACAGCATGCTGTAATGTCTTCGGATGACCAGAAGACTGAGATAAAGCTTCGATGGTCAGTGCAGCTCTGGATTTTATTTATTAAATCCAAGGAATTAATCTTTTTCTAAAAAAAAATATTCACTGATATAAAAAGCCGGTCTGAACTAAACCTAATCAGAATTGTATTAAAGCTACAGTGTGTAACTTTTAGCGACATCTAGCGGTCACACTGCAGACTGCAGCAACATGAACATCTCCCCCACACCGCTTCTCCCCCCCAACAGTACGGCGAGCGTTACGGGACAAAATGTCTTCCACGACGTCCCATCACCTACCTTCTCAAGTGATGAGGTTTGTTTACATAGATAATTTTACAGATAGTATTTCATTAGTCTGTGTAGGGTATAGATTTCATGTAGACTTAAGATAATAAATATACCCGTTATTTTTTCTACATTGTTGTGACGTTTTGGCGATCTCGCAATCGCTAGTTTGTTGGCTCTGCGCTGCCGTAGCGCAAAGATGTCTGCCTCCATGGCTGCGAGACCCGCTCCTATGTAATTATAAATAACGAATTCTAAGGCAACGCAAATATTAAGGTTAAGAGGCTGAGCTCGTAGATGATGATAAATAACATAGTTATGTATAATATATTACATTTCTGACTGTATATCCCTGTAATTATTACACACTGTAGCTTTAATATTTCCTGTATTTTACTGGGACTGCTTGTGCATTTATGCTTCTGGTTACTTAAAATAAAAATTCCTCCTGCAAGGATTTTTTTTCCCGTTGCACTGGTGTGCATTTGTGTTGAACAATATTTACTTTAATTCAATTAAAACGACCCAAGGGCCAAAATATCTTCTAAAGTCACCCAATTGGAAACTAGATTTTTCCTATGTCACGATTTGACTTTGATGGTGTGCATGTGTCATTTTTGTGTTTTTTTTCCCCTTTTTTGTTGATTTTTATAGAAGACCAAGAGAGTCACTGAAAAACAAAAACAAACATTTAACATTTTAATTATGCAATAAGAAATCCATTTGAAATCCAATTGGTCTTCTTGGTAATTTATGTAAACTAAGTGTTGCAGTCTAACCAATGAGGGAGCTGGTTACATATGAGGAGCAACTGTGATTGGTTTAACTGGTTTTCAGTGTGCTCTATGGATAAAAAGGTAAAGTAAAAAGAACATGCAAATGGAAAAGGATTTTTAGATGCAAGGTGAAAAAGGAAATGGAATAAGAAATTAACTTTTTAAATGTGTGTTTTGGTATTTATAATCAGATATATGATTTGTGGTTTTTAAATCTTTAATCAGAAACAGGTTTTTAAAATACATTTATTAAATGCAATTTACAATTACTCTTTAATAATTACATTTAAAATGACCAATTAAAAAACACCTACCAAAATGGACTCAATATTCTCACAGCAACAAAGCAACATTATTTTGCAGCCAAATGATTAGGTGAGATTAGTGCAAGCTTGATAGATTGATCAGTGTGCTGTAGCAGTGATGCAGTCACTGGACTGTCATGGTGAAGAGAGAGCTGAGTCAGGGGGCAAATTTCTTGATTTAGCGATCGATCTAAGTTCTCTTCCTCACCTATGGTCATAAGATCTGGATAATGGCAGAAAAAAAAAAGCTCGGGAATACAAGTGGCTAAAATGAGATATCAATTCAGAGGGTGGCTGGCCGCACCCTTGGAGATCGGGTGTGGAGGTCAGTTACCCGTGAGGAGCTCGGAGTAGAGTCGTTGCTCCTCGACGTCGAAAGGAGCCAGTTGAGTTGACTCGGGCATCTGTTCCAGATGCCTCCTTGTCGCCTCCTTCGAGAGGTGTTCCAGGCCTGTCCTATTGAGAGGAAGCCTCTAGGAAGGCCCAGGACACGCTGGAGACACTATGTCCCTTAGCTGGAGTGGTGCCACCTCAGGGTCACCCCGGAGCAGCTGGAGGAGGTGTGTGTGGATCGGGAAGTCTGGGCATTTCTTGACCCAAGATAAAGTGGAAGAAAATGGATGGATGGATGGATGGATGGATGGATGGATGGATGGATGGATGGATGGATGGATGGATGGATGGATGGATGGATGGATGGATGGATGGATGGATGGATGGATGGATGGCGTTCATCTGCTCCAGTTGAGAAAGCCAATGACATTAACAAGCTAGTGGAAATCAATACAGCAAAGTAGAAACACCATTTCCCAAGTATTGGGCATTGTTATCTTGTAAAAGGTCCCCATCCCTAACCAAAACTAGATGATCAGCAGGACTTACAAGGAAATCAGTTAAACATCAAAAAGCCAGAGTTTTATTTTATCCGAATGTAATTTTTATTGCATGTGATCCCGGCAGTTTGACAGTAGTGATTCACAAGTGACAATTGTGAGGGTGTTCCAGGATGTCCCTTACCTTTCGACCACTGACTGCTTGAAAAAGAAGGTAAGTCAAAATTTGCTTGTATAGCACATTAAAGCGGCAAGGCGATTCAAAGTGCTTTGTATCATAAAAGCATCAATACAAATATGCTGTAAAACCACTTCAATCTTTTTAAAACATCCACCAAATGCACAAAAAATAATCAAAACATCAGAATCGTCACAGAAAATCATAAAAATCTTCAGCCAGATGCACATGATGATAGTGAGAGGGTCAATGTGTGATGAGATATTATGATTAGAGCAGCTTTTCACCTGGATTTGTTTGCAGAGTACTAATCAAGTGCAGCTCTAAATAAGTCTTGATTTCACGGAATTTATTGTTTCAGCTGTTTTGCAGTTTTCTGGGACTTTGTTTCAGATTAAATGTGCATGAAAACTGAAAGCTGCTTCTCCATGTTTGGTTCTGGGGAAACAAAGTAGACTGGAACCACAAGATCTAATGGATGATATTGATGAAAATTATTTATAGTGTATTTTATATACAGATATCAAATTGCCACAAACAAAAGTTAAAGTAAAAAATATCAAACATAAAAGCTGAAAAGCTGGCCCTGTCAGGTCATCAATGCTGAGAATAGTCTGTATTACATTGACATCAATATCTGCTGGATTTACCTCCACCACTTCCTCATAATAACAACTTAACACAAAAAATGCAAGCTAATAGGACCATAAAGAATTAATATTAAATAACTGCTTGCAGGAACATTAAGGTAGAAAAAGAAAGGTCTTAGCACAAATTAGAGACGCCGTGTTGTTTGTCCTTAAGTGGCTTTTAAAGTACAGTTTTGTTTTTCTAGAAATAGCATAAATCTATGATACACAATTTAAGTTTAGTTATTCTGTTTTTCATGTTGTTTTAATAGCATAAGGAATAGATTTCCACTGCATTAGCTTTGCATTAGACTTCGCAGAGACCTTTTTCCCCATGTATAGGTAGGAAAAAATATCTAGAATAATATAATATTCTACTTTGATTTCTGGCAGTCTACATTTTCCTTACATACTATCCTCTATTATTATACCAATCCCTCATTCGTGGCCATGGTGACAGCAGAAAATGTTTTGTGTTATCACCTGTCTTTTAAACGTGCCAAAAATAGATGCAAAAGCTGCCCCTGCAATCAGTTATAACTTCTATTCATTGTTTTATGGATTGTAAATATCGACATTTGCATATCGTTCTCCAGTTATTTTGTTCAGTTTAATCAAAATATGATTAAAATTTTCATTAAGGCAGGTGAAAACTGTTTGCTTTTGCTTCTCCACTCATTTTGGACACACAATACAAATTGCACCTAATTGAAAAATCAACTTTGCACATGCTAACATGTTTGTATGTTGTTATAACCAGAGATGGGAAGTAACAAAGTACAAATACTTCATTACTGTACTCAAGTAGATTTTTCTGATATTTTTACTTTACTTTACAACCTATTTTTATGGCGACTTTTTACTTCTACTCCTTACATTTTTACACAAATATCTGTACTTTCTACTCCTTACAATTTAAAAAATTGGCTCGTTACTTTAGTTTTGAATCATTTCAATGGAGTTACAGTTATTATTTTTCACGTCATGAATACCAAATTCAATCTAATTGGATGGGAATCTACGTTGCATTTGACGCACCACTACAAGATGAATCGACAGATTCTGCGGTATTCATTCGCGTCAAATCATTGCAGCTTGGTGGCGGTGGCGTTAGCATAGTAGTATGGACGACGAGATGATTGAAAATGAACACAACGGAGATCTAGTCCTATTGGCAGACATCCATTTAAAATGTAGGCAACAGCATGAAAAAAGTGGTTTCTACTTTTACTTTTATACTTAAATTTACGTACATTTACAAGCCTGTACTTTGTTATTTTACTTGAGTAAAGAAGTTTAATCAGTACTTCCACTTTTACCAGAGTATTTTTTTAACACAAGTATCTTATTCAAGCAAGGGTGTAGGTTTGATTTAAACTTTGGTAGGGACACTATTGGTCTGATGTCATTGGTCCTATGCCAAAATATGCATACTTGTTTTTTTTATG